TTGTCGCCATATTTATTACAATGCTTTGGCCGTTTATTACATGACGGCCTTCTTGGAAGGTGGTTGGAATGTCAAAATGTATTATCAATGTCATTCTTTTCAGTTTAAAATAACCCACATTTAATTTTGAATTTTTATGCCTAACCAGGATTGAACTCCTCGTAGAGGTCCCGTCACTGGATCCAGAAAACTTTCAACATATTTAGGTGAGTGTTTTAAACTGCTCCAACTCTGTTAAAATAGTAATGAAACGGGTGAAGACTTTTTTAATTTCTAAATAAACTCGGATTAAAGTTTTGTTTTCCTTGCGTCAACGACTATTAATTAGTGTGGGAAATTTGAGTGATTTTTTTTTTTTTTGCGGTGAAAAAATATTTATTTGGAAATTATTGCAAAAATCAAATAATTTCAGATTGTAATGAAACTTTCAGGACTCATTCATTACGGAATGAAATTATTTGAGAAATGCTTCTTTTTTTTAGAAAATCTTGGTAAAACTGTTTTTTTCTTTTACATATGTTACACCCACCCTTCCACCACACACATACACTTATTTAATTTTATGAAATTTCGAGAAATGTTAATAGGCTTAATGTTTATATTAGTTATAAGGACAAGTCCTTGAGAAGTTAAATCATTTTTTTAATGTAAAATAGGACACCCAGTTACAGAAAATCTGCTCTGAATCCTAAAATAAAAAAAATGCAATAAAACTAAGACATTATTAATTAGAAAATCTTTTAAACACATTTTCAAGGGATGACATTTGTAAATAAAAAAAAAAACCCTCGAAGCATATAACTTTGTAAAAGCCAACGATTGATTTCTGACTGTTTCGATATTATAAATAGAGCCTCTTTGGACAGATGTGGGTAACAACTTGCCTTGCTATATCAATTACAACTAAGTAGTGAGTTCGATCCTCATTGGGTGCTCCTTAATCTTGGACTTGTGCCACAACTAAGCCATACTTAGTAAATCACTATAAACATTGCCCTTTTAAATCGATAAAAAAGAAATCACTATTTTCTGAATCTGATAAATGTCACAACTTGAGTAAGGTTTAAAAATGATAACAAACAAAAATTATTGTACAGGAATTTTTTGTAAGTTTCGCTCTGTACAATCTCGGCGGCCACTCGAGGCGCTAAGGTATAAAGGAAAATAACGGTTACCTATACATTAGAACAGGTTAAGATAGTAGTGATCGGGGAAACATCCTCCCGGGAGTCTGTTCTACAGAACAGTGGTTCAAGGGAAGCTTTTTCAAATTGAACCTATTTCTCACTGATGAAATACGGAGGGAATGAAAGTGGTTTGCTAGAATGTAAGTTGCATAAGCGGGTCCTTGCCGTAGCGGAATCAAGGAATGTAGTTCGTCTTAGCATTTGCCATGGAAGTAGCGATAAAGTAGTAAGAGTTTCACCACATCGAGTGGACCAGTCTGTTCAAGTAGTACCCAATTTTATAAGGTTAATTACAGCTTTCACCACTCCAGAAATGAGAAGTATTGGGAACAACACCGCTTAGTCAGTCTTCAAATCAACTTTTATTCTTCAAAGTGAACTTTTTCTCTGTCCTACTCCAGGAAACGAAGGTAAGACCTGTAACTTCGCAACATATTTTCGTCCTTGAGCAAACTATAAGTGATTTATGACACCAACTTATCAACATGCGACAGGAATTCGACGTGTGTGTTTATGAGGTAAGTTGTAAACTAAATGCGAACCTATAAAGTTGGCTCAGAATACAATAAAACATTTTTATTTCGCTGTCTTTTTTTCAAGTATCTATCGAGTAAGAATTTTTATTTCCGTTTAAAACGTGATGTGTCACGAGATTTAGTCGCAATTTGAAATGCATTACATTTTTTCGGGTGCCACGTTGCAAAGAAACAAAATAGAACGCTATCCTAACACACCGTTACTACTTAATGTTGCTTCTTCGACAATCAAGGAATTGCTAAATGATTTAATTAAAATAAGAATGGTAGAGTTGAAGAATAAATGGTGATTTTCTAAATGTAGTTTAAATGTGACCGAAAGTCTGGAACATTCAGCGAGAATTGAACTCGTTATTCATTCAGTCGTAATTGAAGTTAAAGAATAGAATGCTTTCATAATATTCAGCAAATTTATAAAATAGCCACCATTTCATTTCAAGCTTATTCTATTACTAGCAGTATAACCCTCTTTGACGGGGTCTTTCATTACTGGCAATTTTTGCCGCTCAGTTGGAGCAGTTTAATTTTAAAGTCAGCCCATCCGAAAAATCAATATTAGTAACAACATTTGGGTGCAATTGGGGTACATCCCCAAATGGAGGTATTAACAATTTTAATGGGGGCTGGCCCTGAAAAGGGAATTTTATAATAATAAATAATATTATTGTACTAATTTAAGCTATTTATTTTATTAAAGTTTTTATGAAAGATATATACCCAAGAACAGATAGCAATTAGTAAAACATTGCTGAGAGTTATAATGGATAGGAAGTAGTGGAGCGCCATCGTCGCTAACAATTCAAATTCAAAACCGGCACTGAAGAATTAACTATCAAACAAAAAATTAATCAAAATCGGATGAAAACTACACAGTTTACATTATTCGGACTATTGTCCTCATCTTTGTCGCCATATTTATTACAACGTTTCGGCCGTTGTACGCTCCGGCCTTCTTCAGGTGGTTGGAATGTCGAACTGAACACTTTATTTCGCTTACTGGAGTAGACTGTTCTAGTTCCACGTACCATGTTTAATGGATGTCAGTTATCAGTTATCTCCGTTAATTTCCCTCTTCAAGTTCTCCACCACCTTAACCAGGTATTGAACTCACACTCTTTGGGTCCTGTCACTGGATCTAACCAACGCCTGAAGAAGACCGGAGCGTACAACGGCCCGAAACGTTGTAATAAATATAGCAACAAAGATGAGGACAATAGTCCGAATAATGTAAATTGTGTACATAATACCTCATCTCAGAAATATAGACAGATACGGATGAAAACTGAAAATGCATAAACAACATCCGATCACACACACACACACATATACATGCACACACGCATTTTGAGAATTATAGATATAGATGGCAGTAGTAAGGAAAACTTAGGCTGTGAACTGTCGTGTAATGGAATGAGAGCCGAGTTCGAATTCCAGTCATGTTTGTCACATTCATTTACGCGCAAATACACTTGGAAAAGGTATGAATACATTTTACCCCCCCCCCAAATCTATGGGTTGAATAGTAGGACAGACTTGGTCTTATAGTCTTGGTTGGCAACCAGTCTACCGCAGAAAGAAACATCGACCTACTACAGAAAAATCTGCCTAGTCAGTCATGGTGATTTTCTAAACGTAACTTATTATGTGGCACAAGGCCGAGAGTATGGAGCACCCAGTAAGGCTGGAACTCATTACTCATCCGTAAGTGATCTAAGAGACAATCTTGATAATCATTACACCACGTCGAAGCACTCAAATGATTTTCTAAGCGTAGCTTAGATGTGGTACAAGGTCGGGACTATGGAGTACCCAGAGAGGATCGTAACTACTCAGTCGTAATTGTCCTAGCGAGACAAGCTTGCTAACCATTATTACACCACGTCGAATTGTCTCAGCCTAGTCAATCATGAATCGAAAGAGACATAATCACCCAAGCGCGTATCACGTATGACACATAACTGACTAAAGGCACATGAATCAAGAATTCCTACTTATATACGTGTACTCTCTAAATATAAAGTGTATAGTAACGAGACCATATCTCGCATTTTAAAAAAATCAATTACTTGCTTACAAAAATTCCTTCGTTCACGTTTCAGGTGCGAAAATAAAGATAGCTAACATAAACTATGAAATGTCCCAACATGAGATGTACATCTCTTAAATAGAATAATTGAACCTTCCTTTGCTATGATGATTTTCCATGGCGTAATGGTAAGGCACACTTAGAAGTGGTCCCTGTGATTGAAAAAAAAAATGGAATACACTTTCGATTCCTGTCAGGAGGCACATTCTCTTTCGTAGGACTTCTCGATCTCTCAGGTAGCTTACGTTAATTTCACTATTTAAAAAAAAAATATAAAATAAATAAATAAAATAAAAAATAAATAAACAGTGATATCTGATAAAATACGTTTGCCCAATCTTTATTATTACTATATAAAACTCTGTGAACTGTGTATCCTGTGTGTTTGCCAGAAGTCGTATATAGAGTGGGGAAAGAAAGATGTAAATTTATTATCGTGTAGGAGGATGGAGCCAATTTTCTTACGAGAAAGAGCATAAAACACACGAAATCCGACCCCAAACAGGATACGCACAGCTGTCATCAAGGTCCACGCCACTCTAGCTTGTGAACTTCACGGCCTTATGCTAAAAGCGACAGCGATGATAAACTTCAAAGAGACTGCTTCAGACTACGGCAACATCGCCCACAGTAAGAAACAAATTCTATCTCTTGTATCCTCTTTACTGTGAACCACGCACACGTGTTGACTTTTTCATACAAACACACATATAACAACATTTCATTGTTTCTCACATACGTACACAAAGAAAATTTATATTTTATTTCAGAGTTTTATTTACCCAAACAAAAAGACATTACTTTCCAATCTATGACCAACTGCTTGTATTCTCGTCGTTATATTGAATTAATGTTCATTTGTTGAAACTACATTGTTTTTTTCTACTGAATTTTATTCTTTCAGTGAAAATCTAAAGGGTCGAATTACGCACAGCCCCGCAACAATATTTTATGTTATCGTATCGAATCCTAACATTCCGAATTTTAACATTCCAAGTTCTAATTGTTCAACTTTCTTCAAACAGACAATTTTTAATCTTGAAAGCAACTTCAATAACTGCAGATAAATGTATTTTTAAAATATCTCAAATTTCCCAAACTCTTTTCTGGAACTAAATGTAAACAGTAACACAATACGTTTGACCCAACGGGTCACGGGTGTTCTAGTATATATTAAATTATCGTAACAAGTTGAAACACCGGTTCTCGTACGATCACTAAAGTTAAGCAACATCGAGCCTGTTTAGTACCCTAGTTTGGTGACTGCTTGGGAATGCTAGGTTCGGCAAGCTTGGATGTGCAGGTGGTGTGATGGATAATGGCTCGGAATTGAAGAGCCGAGTTCCAATTCTAGTTTGGTTCGTTATATTCACTTACACGCAAATACCCTTGGGAAAAGTATGAATCTACCTCCTCTACCCCGGCTATGAGTTAATTAGTAAGAATTGTATCACTAAGCCATGATTATCTCAAAACAATTCTTACCTTCTGGGAGAATAGGTGGATTTATCCCTTTCCCAAGGTTATTTGCACGTAAGTGAATATGAAGAACCCTATTGGTAATTTGAACTCGGTTCTCCAATTAAAACTTCAGAGCTATTATCCATTTCATCACCCGCACATTCACGCTTACAGCACTTGGAATTCCCAAGCCGTCACCCATCAAGGTATACTGACCAGATTCGATATTGCTTAACCTCTGTGATCGTATGGCAACTAGCGTTTCAACGTAATATGGCTGTAAGCCTTTAAACTTGCATTCGTATCAGACGTTATTAACATTACATTGCACTAACCTAACCTGTTTCTTACAGTGCAAATAAAACACTGTGCATGTATTACCAATGTTATTATGCTACTTCATAGTCGTCATCATGATTAATGCACTTGTTTAATCGTTGCGAAAGTGCAGCAATGCGCATCTTAAGGAACGTAGCATCAAGCGACTGGAACCACCTTGCACTTCTGCGAGAGCAGCGTCACATGTATAGTATTTTTTTTTCAGATAAATGTTGTTTAAAAATCCCGAAATATTTTTAATATATAGGAGTCAAGTGAAAACCATGCAGTAAAAACAGCACAACTGTATAGATGGAATAAATCTTTTTGTCGGGTTGTTGGCAATCTAGTATGGTGTTGATTAGAGCCTTTAGTATTTTCCTCCCAAAAGCTGAAAGACAGTAGTCCGAAGGATCAGACAGATCGCCAGAATTCTTACAAATTTGCATATATTACATCTAGTTTTGCAACGTTACTTTTCTACACAGCTGCCATCGACATTAATGCACTTTTCCCATTGTTGCATAAACGTATAAATACGGGCTTGAAGAACATTTGTCAAGTGACTAGGTCCACTCTTGTACCGCTGCAACAACAAAGTGGTCCGTGTGGAACCGTTACCAGAATAAATACCCAAAAAGAGGTTAATATGTAAGAGACAAGTTAAGACTATGCGGTGGATGCGGTATAAAAAGCCCACCTGAATCGCTGGAATCAAACTTTTGACAGTTTGGTTGAAAATTAGGATGACGTTTTTGAGCAACATGACAACACCCTTACGCAAAGTCTTGGTCTCTTTTGATGAACAGATTCCTTTAGTCTCTTCACTGTTTCACACGAGCTGCACAGTTTTTGCACCTCAGATAAAATTACCATCGAATTTTTATTTGTCACCGGAGTAATATAATTGAGATTAAGACTTCTTACTCGGGAGTATGTACCCCAGAAAGTCAACATCATTTCTTCCTATATCTTTCCAAATGTTGAAAAGAAATTCCCATGTGAAGCTTGAGTTCTTTTGTCAGCTGCTTTGGAACCCAAAGATGGATTTTTTTTGTCTTTGGTATGCAATAACCTTATTTCACTTTTCAGCTCCATGGCCTTTTTTTTTTTTTTTTTTTAATGTTTTGTCCCGGCAGTCTTCATCGCTGTGATTTCACGCATTCGCATACTACTTGTTGCTTTGTGTTTACAGTTTTATAATAGTTAAACCCGATCCGTGTATGCCTTATCTTATTTTTCGGACATCTTATTTATTTCTCAGTTCCTTTTCTTTTATTCATTTATGCTAATCTGATTTGTTACATTAAAACTCGCATTTTTTGTATTTAAAATATCTAAGAAATTTGGTGGGAGTTTAACGTTGGAAACAAAATATGGCGTCATTAGCTGAATACGAATATGGAAATGAGGCCAACTTTATAAATAGGAATTTAGTTCTGACCTAGATTTGCCATTGGGAGATCGACATGGTTGAATAAAACGCACAATCGACAAAAAAATATGTGGATTAGGTTGCTAAAGAGATGAGTAGGACTGTTGTGTAGTTTTTGTAAGACAGGTATTAAATGAATGCATGATGTCAGTCATGCAAACATCCGCGGAGTAACACAACGAACTAAGGTATAATTAGTAAATAAATTAGGACATTTTGAAGTGTGCATACCTGTAAGATAGGAACTTCAGTAAGATGTTTTGTAACCAACTTAGTATTGTTTAATTTGTAAAAGAAATCTTAATAAGGCTAATAACTTTTTTACTACACTGTTTTAAAACTATTAACAAATTTATAAGTTTAATACTATGAATAAAATTATTGCAATGAAGTTGTCTATCGAACAATACAGTTGTCCCCAATTCAAATATTTAAACCGTATATATATAGCGATCAAATGTCGTAACTTATTAGGTAGATGAAACTATGTCGTGAGGTGGTTTTCATCAGAATGACACAGAGTAAGCTACCTATTCTCAAATAATTGTCACACTCGCATTTTTATAAAAAAAATTGAAATGATTTCGAGGTATGGATGTTATTAAAACGAATGCAACTTCGTCCCTGGAATCGGGAATAAACCTAAAGTTCAGAAAGTATGTTCAATATGATATTAACACTAAGGATTCTTACTATCAGTCATTTTTACATGTAAAATTTGTTATACCGAAACGATATAAATATCTACCTTTTGTTTTACTTTGTCATTCTATTCACAGATTTTCTGAAATTTTGAAAAATGTTTTTATTTATTCACTAATTCGATCACTTCGTCACTTCGCTGGCGGCAAAATGATTAAATTCAGATCTAAATGTTTTGCCCATTTAAAATACTACATTTATTAGAAAATATATTCAGCTTAAATACAGAAAGGGTTATGCAAATGACTTCAAAGGACCATACATTTCGGCTTATACTCTTCCCGCTACTAAGTGGTTGCTGCTTGGCGAGAAAAAAAGAACTTATTCCTAGAGACATAAATGCACATTTAAATTTTCTTTTAATTATTCCACTCCAAGCAAGGCAATAAAGTCGCTAAGAAACAAGGGGCTTACTGAGTGCGAAAGTATATAAAAAAAAAAAAAACATTATTAAGGAACGGGAACAATAAAAAGAAGTGAAACCAAGATAACGATTGCCATTGCATTTAAATTTTTGAAGATCAAAGTTGTCTGGAAAGCGAGAAGCCGGAAGATAGTTCCACAGGTGAGAAGTGAGAGAAAAGAAACTATTAGCATAGAACTATTAGCATTGCATCTAGCCAATTCAACAATAAATTGATGAGACTTTATTGCCAATCTAGGACTGCGCTTAAATTCTAGGTACCATAGCGAAAAGTTCATGAGAACAATTAGCTTGGGAGTATTTATAGAAAAGGCACGGAGAAGCTACATTACGGCGGTGGGAAAATGAGTGAAGCTGCGATGCCGAATAAGTTTATAGGCAGAACCTATGCAATATTCCATCAAAATAAATCTAATCTACTAGTTTTTAAGGCGACCGGGTAAAAATTCTTACAGCTTCGCTAGCAAGATTTAACTAGTGAGCCATATTTACTGTATTACACCTTCGGGTGACCATTTATTCTCGTTTTACAGAGATTCTTCATGAAAAAATTCAATTTATTGGAAGACTGCAAAAGGCAACGAGAAAATTGTTTTGGTTTGGAACATAAAACAGCCTTGGAGTATGGAAAAATCCAGTTAGCCGAAAGACGGCAGAATATTGTGGACAACATGGTAAATATCTTGCTAAAATTAATGTCGGAAATTGAAAAAAAATATTACTTCTATTTTATTTATTAAAACGACGAAACGTTTTTTCCATTACTCTGTATATTTCATTCTAAATTTAAAGCTGGTGAAAAAAAAGCGAATTAGAATAGATATTCCAAGTTCGAATTACTTATGGAATTCATTTCTGTTTTCCGTTGTATTTAATTATTAAATATGTCGATGAAGTACTGAAATCACTGGATCCTGCAAGGAACAAATAGTGAAAATATATAATTTGTAGAAACTACTGTCCCTAAAATACTTTTAGATCCATGTATCTACAACAAGCATTTATATCCCTTGTCAATAACGACAAGTTCAATATTATTTGAAGTTGTTATAATATAAAGAATTAACAACCATTCTGGAATTTTTCTAGTATTCTTTCCATTTCTGTTTCCGTTGCTTTATTTACAAATAAGCATGGAAACAAAAATTCATTTTCTTTTCGGTTCCTTTATTTAATCCCAAAATTATTTAAATAGTAATATTCTAAGGAAAATTAATTAGATATAAATTTGTCAAACATTATAAATTGTTTTACTAATACAATGCAACCTCGGTTCTCGAACGTCTGATGTGTCGAACGAATCGGTTTTCGAACAGAAGATTTGAGATGAATATGCGTCAGTTATCGAACAAAATGTCGGTTCTCGAACAACATATTCGAACCGAGTTAATGCAGCCGGAATAATTCCTGAGTCGACCACCGTGTTGTATATTTTCGTGTGTTGTTCTTTTCCAATTTTATTGTACTTTGAATTTTTTTTCTCTACATTGATTCCTATCGGAAAAATAGTTTCGGTTTACAAAAATTTCGGGTTACGAACGGCTTTCAGGAACGAATTAAATTCGTGAACCGAGGTTCCCCTGCATTTCTTTTATTTTCATTTCGGTTGTTTATTTAACTGAAAAATAATTTAAATGATAATATTCTATAAAAAAACTTAAGGGGATATATATTGGCCAAACAGTGTGAATTTGTTACTAGTATTTTGTTCACGTTTATTTCGGCTCCTTTGTGAATCTTATAGTATTATTAATTTATTCTTTATTTTAAATTTTATATTTATTAAACTATTTATGCTATTAATATTCAGGGTATTTAACCACGATAGATAGATACGGTCGATAAAAATAAATACATCAGATTTATTATTATCTACAAAGAAATTAAAAAAACAAAAAAAACGAGCAACATAGTTATGAAAAATAATATATCCCGAAATTTCAACCTC